TGTACGGTTTTTAAAAGCTGTCCCGCAAGCGGTCGTATATTTCATTTTGGGTAACGCGATGTTTTAGCTCAAGCTTATTTCAAACATTAGAGTGACTTTGTCGTAAAATGATGTTATTAGTTAACATTGAGATACCTTCGATCTACAAGTTTTTCGGTTTTAAATTTCTAATATCATAAAATATTCTCAGTATTTCAATGAATCACGTATGTTAATATTTTTTAGACTAATATTATGTTTAATATCTTATTTCCATCCATTTAAAGAGTCAGCGAAATAATCTATATTATACGTAATTATCTTGACCAGTTAAGAGCTTGGGAATGTGAGTCCGTAACCTTAATTTGTAGTCAGACTTCTTAAGGTTTAACGAAGCGAGAAGAGCGATTGTAATGAGGTCTTAGTAATTGGATACCTAAAATACTCAGTACGAAAATATTACAAATAACGGGAAGAGTTTAAACATCAAATAACATAACCATGGGATTTTGGGTTTGTATTCCAATGGAGGATTTTTTTCTAAGTATAAAATAGCAAATTTGCGTGAACGTAATCACTCCCGTCCTGGAACACAAGATGTGTGTTACGAGATTTTAATCAATACTGTATTTTTATTAAATTCAAATTATATCGGTTTTTAAAACGACCGGACAGAGGCAGCTGCGTAGAAAAAAACGAATAAACTGATAGACCATTATTCCTTTTTTCATGAGAAAGTTAAGTGATCTATGGTAAATTTTAATTTACAAAAAGGTCATAATGCTTTAATTATTTTAAACCTAGCGTGATGAGATTGAAGTACAGCACCGTTAGCTTCGGTCATTCGATGAGTTCTGACAAACCGATGCCGTCGACATCTGGCGACCATGCCACTCAACATGTGTTTTTTTAATTAACACTGTTTATGAACCGCTGTTAATAATTTTAATTTTAAACTCATGTCATTGAAAAGATATATTAAGAATACGATTTCTTTGAAATTAGACTTCAGCATATTATAGACAGAGGTAATATTACCGTACGAATAAAGTTTTGTACACAAAAGTAATTAAAAAAGTGATTTTTTTGTATTATTACTTATACAACATTTACAATAGAAAACTTTTAGGTTTTAGAACGTTAAATTATTTCATTTTATCAGACTTAAATCTAGAAATCCGCTTAAAATAAGGCATTAACGTGTTAATAAACAATGCGTGCTCTGAACTCTAGCAAACCCTTCTTGAGTTCAACTAACATGTGTAAAACAAAATAGGAAATGTATAACTTCACAGACGTCAGCCAAATATAGGTTTCTAAATAATCAAACAAATGCAAACCAAAAGAGATCCTTCTTAATGATACAATATCTCATACTATGATACTAATATTATAAATGCGAAAGTTTAGATGCATGGATGGATAAATGGATGTTTCTTAGAGTTTGTAGCCTAAAAGGCTGATCGGATTTCGATGAAATTTGGCAAAGACGTAGAGGATAGTCTGGAAGAACACATAGGCTACTATCTTTTGTTTTTTTAAATTCCATTCGGACGGAATCGCGGGCGACAACTAGTACTATTATAAATATATTGGTATACGGTTTGTGAAGTATTGAGATTTATTCGATAATTAAGATCAAAATATTAACCAAAGTGTAATAATCAAAAAATAGTACACTGGTACTTTTCACCGATATGTTCGTACTAGTTCGTACTTGCAAAAGTAATGGTAAGATTACGTTTCATATTTATAAAATAACTTTAAGCATAATTGCACAAGTCGGCCTAATTTTAGTCCCTTTCTCGTTACACCCTTTTCTTATAAAGAAAGGATTGAATGGGAAAGTGGATTTGACGGTGGAGGAGATGCATAAGAAGGGGAAATATCCTCTGTATGTGCAATTCAGGATGTCTATGGGCAGGTCGCTTCGATTTTGGCGGATCTAGGTGGCCACTTGCTCATTTGCTACCTTATGATATAAAAAAACTCGGCATAAGTCAAGATTTGAGATTGATCATTACATTCTTTATTTTTACTCGTGACCCGTATTCACATTACGTTAATGACGAAATTGAGGCAAACTAAAAAAAAAGATGTTTAAAATATCCTTGGTCAAAGTTAGACAACAAAATACTTTGTCTACGTATACTTCGAAGTTAATGCATATCGTATTGATTTAATACGTGTTTTAAATATAAAATGACCACAGCCCTTGGTGATATAGTTGAACGGACTGAGACTAAGGCAGCCTTCAACATGCGTCGGATGCATACAATTGTATACGTTAGTTTATGATTGTTGAATAATAAAGACATTATATTGTTAACAATATCGATAACTTGCCCAATAAAGACAAGTAAATTGAATCGTAGAGTTTTTTTTTTCTTTTTACAGTAACATTTATAGAATATGACGTAAGGTTTGTGCCCTTTAATGCAAAAAAGTATAAACATTTTCCCGTTTTCTTTTCAATTCAAAAATAAATTATGAAATTCTCAAGAAAATTGGAAACAATTTGATCCTTTTCGTAACAAAACTTATAAGTATTCTCAACCAATTATTTTTTAAGGGTGAGTTGCATCAAATCGCTGGTTATCGTAAAAGTTATAATAGGGTTACAAGTGCAAAAACATATTCTCACAGAGGTTTTATGTGTTTTTCGTTTTTACAATGGAAACATTTAAACCTGAATGTCACTAAAGTGTCAAGTTGGTGTCAAGAATGACATTTACGTAAATTAAAATGTTTGGAAATTCATGTTTCGCCGATTATATTTATGTATCATACGCATGGTATTTTATAGTGAAATAAACTTTTTGCCCACGAAGATGGAGAAAATGGCAAACTCTTGTGAAAATAAACTAGTTTGGGCCATTATTGAAACTGTATTTACTTTACTACTCAAATATGTAGCAAAAATGAAGCAATAAAATTATACAAATATAAATGCATCTTATTTATTTTCCATGTTATAAATTGTCCTGTCAATGCATATTATAAATTGACCTTTTATAGAGGACATTTTTTTAAATAAGAGAAAAGGGACAAGCGCTGTTGCTATGGCCTTAGACACTCGAAATTTGTCCAAACTGAATGTTTGGCCAAATTTCGAGTTCCATCTTGGAAATCCATTATTTCCGAGCACGCAAGACTTTATTCTTCTGGATTACGTATAGGATAATAGTAGATATTTTCTTTTTCCATTACTTTTTCCATTATTTGTGCTTTTGAAGATAAGAGCTTGTGACAGTTGACACTACCGAACTGACACTAACCGTAACGCTAACTATAACCGCCCAAAATCGGTCGGTTATGATTAGTGTCAAATATGACGTCATTTTGACCAGCGCAAAACTGGTGTAGCGAATATCATGAACATCCGAAGACGTAACCATCGGGAATGTGCTGGTTAAGGTTTATAGTTAGTTAATGTAACTCATCCTTAGTAAATTTTAAGATTATTCCAAATATTACCATTTCAAATAATTTTAACTTTAACGGTAACCGGCGATATGGTGCAACTCACCCTAAGAGTTTTTAATTAACCTCCTTGAGTTTTATTTTCAATTCTTTAAAGTTCACGGTAAAATCATTGTTTACCAATGGTAAAAGTAACAAAAATATGTCCTAAAATATTGAAACTGGATTAAGTCATACCGTCATAAAAATTTGCTTTTAAATAATCCGGATTGTAAAGACAGTGCTTGAGCCTAACATTTGACTATATTGCAAAACAAAGGAAGCCAAAGTGACAATTTGATTAGATCGTTAACCTTAATTTTAAAGTGAACGATTGACGAAGTCAGCAGTATAATAAAAGGTATTTCAAAGGCCTCAAAATATCAACGTATACAAAACTATCTGGGGCTTGAGACGTGTATGAAATTTAATAATTATAATTATTTGTTGACCCTTTGTTTACAAATCAATGCTCCGTTCGGTTTCCTTTGCAACCCGATTGCGGTGCACCGTCTTGTTTGTAATAATATCTTTTATACTTCAATGAACGCGTGGCGTAAACGAGTGTTTTCGTAAAGCTATTTGTTCATTAATGTAATTTTTCATTAGTAATAACTAAACGGTTTATTTAACTATTTACGGAACGCGTAAAGAATATTTATCGAAATGCTTTGTTGCGGCTATATTTGTGGGTAGGCATGTATTTTCTCAACGGCCGGATTGATGTTGAAGCCTACAAGATAGATGGCGCTGTAATCTCTTTCCATTCCGACATTATTATTCTTTGACGTGCATGGTTGACTGTACAAAATACATTTTAACATGAAATATCTCCTCCGTATAATCAGAGACCCTTCTTGGTCTTCTAAGTGTTCTTTAACGTTGATATCTGAGACAATACGCCCTTCTTTTATAGTAATCCATCACGGATTTAACTACCTCAATACAATTTGCACCGCAAATGTATCGATGTATCTTTATTAGCCGGTTTCCGCAAGCTTTTTGTCAACTTCAAAAGATAACTCAACAAAAGGTCATAAGAGTTTTTTTTTTCAAATCTTCATAATAACAACAAAATCACTGTTGAAAATTAATACAAAGTAATAATGATGTCGGGATTGCTCTCCATCAATGCTGGAACTCTTTCAGGTTTCTTCATATTACCCTAAAGTTCTACAAACCTCCAAAATAGACTTGCAATAAAAATACACAGATAAACAATGTAACTCTTATTTTGTTGAATTCAGCAGTGCGGGCATTCGCAACGCGAAACGCGCGGTGTAAAATTCGCGGCATAACTCTCTAGAAAAACGGGAAAGTTGAAAGAAAATCTAAATAAACTTGAAAAAAAAAACATGGAAGAAACTATAGAAACAAACAATAACTTTAACTTAAGATGTAAATATCTCGAAGTCAGCGCAGCATACCAAAAGTAACAAAAAAATATGTTAATGGATCGGGACTACCTAAACATTCAAAAATTTAGTTTAGGTGCGGGTGAACACGCAAGCGGAAAGGATTAACTAATTTAAATAATACAACACAACATCAAAACTTACCTGGTACTTGATGCCCGCCAGACGTATCCATGTCTCAACTTTTAAACAGTACGGCGAAGTCGATGGCAATACTGGAGTACGGGTGAATTGGTACAGGTACACGACATCCTTCTCAAAGTTGGTCTTATGTACGTTCGGCTTGGTGGATCCTGCCTCTTGTTTTTTCTCCTCTACTTTTTCTGCCTTCTCCTCAGTCGCCGGCGGCTCCTCTTTAGACTGCCCATTGTCTGCCGGGGCATCGTCTTTCACCTCCTTTGGCTTCTCAGGGGTTTCTGGAGTAGTTGGTATCGCTTCAGAGGTCATTTTGAATACTTTTTCACTCAAGTCTATGGACAAAAGCACAAACTATCGCGTCGAATTTTTTTGTGTTAACACAACGCGCGCGTTCAAATAATTGATTCTCGCACGACCGCCTCGCAAATGAGCAACTATCTGACTGACTTCGGTCGGGTCGGGTCGGACGGGCAGGGCCGGTTCCCGGTTGCTCCGCAACGCTGTGCGATAGCCTCGATCGTTCCACACAAAATGGCCGCTTTCTCCCGTTTCCGATCGATGAAGCTAACTTATTTGTCGTAAAATAACATGGTTTTGAATAATTATTATTACACAATACGTTTTTGGCTTTTTAAATTATATTACTAAGCAAACGATTTCATAGCCAGCAAACGTTTGAAGATCCGCAAAATTATGGCGCCTAGTTTTAAATGTATAGTGCTGCCATAGCTTCCGGTGTAAGAAACATTCGCTAAATAATATTGATTTTGCTTATTTTTTTTTTTAGTTAGATGGATGGTTTTAGATTCAAGCTTAAACTGCTGAACGGATTACGATGTTTGACTTAGATGTAGAGTATAGTCTGGGAGAACACATAGGCTACTTAGTATTGCTTTTTTTAAATTTCACGCGGACTGAGTCGCGGGTAAATGCTAGTTACTAATAAACAAATGTATTTTATTAGAAATTAGTATTAGTACATACTTAATGTTTAGTTTACCTGAGTTAAGTGATTCGTAACAATTTTCGGATTCCTTATGATTTCGAACCGAAACGCAAAACTTGTCGATGGTTAGTTTAATTGCGGTAACACTTGTAATTTAAAAATATGTCGTCTCTCTTTATTTCGAAGGTAAAGAGAAGGATGACAATATGTTTTGTACAAGTGTTTCGACAGTGAAAATCTACAGTTCAAACTAGATTCTTTAGGGTGAGTTGCACCATATCGCCGGTTACCGTTAAAGTTAAAATTATTTGTAACAGTAATATTTGGAATAACCTTAAAATTTACTAAGGATGAGTTACATTAACTAACTATAAACCTTAACCAGCACATTCCCGATGGTTACGTCTTCGGATGTTCATGATATTCGCTACACCAGTTTTGCGCTGGTCAAAATGACGTCATATTTGACACTAATCATAACCGCCCGATTTTGGGCGGTTATAGTTAGCGTTACGGTTAGTGTCAGTTCGGTAGCGTCAACTGTCACAAGTTCTTATCTTCAAAAACACAAATAATGGAAAAAGTAATGGAAAAAGAAAATCTCTACTATTATCCTATACGTAATCCAGAAGAATAAAGTCTTGCGTGCTCGGAAATAATGGATTTCCAAGAGGGAACTCGAAATTTGGCCAAACATTCAGTTTGGACAAATTTCGAGTGTCTGAGGCCATAGCAACAGCGCTTGTCCCTTTTCTCTTATTTAAAAAAATGTCCTCCATAAAAGGTCAATTTATAATATGCATGGACAGGACAATTTATAAATATTTGTATAATTTTATTGCTTCATTTTTGCTACATATTTGAGTAGTAAAATAAATACAGTTTCAATAATGGCCCAAACTAGTTTATTTTCACAAGAGTTTACCATTTTCTTCGTGGGCAAAAAGTTTATTTCACTATAAAATACCATGCGTACGATACATAAATATAATCGGCGAAACATGAATTTCCAAACATTTTAATTTACGTAAATGTCATTCTTGACACCAACTTGACACTTTAGTGACATTCAGGTTTAAATGTTTCCATTGTAAAAACGAAAAACACATAAAACCTTTGTGAGAATATGTTTTTGCACTTGAAACCCTATTATAACTTTTACGATAACCAGCGATTTGATGCAACTCACCCTTAGTGAAATATTAGTTCGCGGGCGTGGATTAAAAAAATATATCCAACGTGCTCTTTAAGACTAACCTCTACATCTATGCCACACAATGAGATCTATTCATGTCTAGGGTTCAAATCTACCAAACATGAATCCATCCATCTAAACTTTCGCATTTATCATATTAGTAAGATTTCATAATGATCTGTTTAACTGTTGGACATACACATTAACAAACATTCATCCAAACATTCTCATTTATATTATTTTTATGAAGTAAGATTTGTTGTAAAGCCTTCTACACACAATTAGTTCTGACAGTTTTGTTTTAATAGTATTGTATTATCTATAGCAGGGACATACGACAAATTTTAAAAATAAAACGCTATAAGGATATATTTATTTATTTGAGATACTTAAAAGGTTACAATTATATCTATAGTGTTTTTAAATAAGATAGATCATAGTGTGTCTAAATAAAATAGATTAGTTTGAAAAATGACGCATATGAAGTATCGAATTCAATTTCTCGAATGCAAATGCCATACCTAATAGACAATTATCGTAGTGACGAAACAAACCCGCGTAGCGAACAATTTTGAACTATCGGCATTCGGTTTAAATAATTATCGAACTCAACTAAAATTATTATTTTCTTAACTAATTTAAAGGACAATTCTAGTATTGATTATAGTGTAGAGAATTTAGCTATGACAGGAATAATAGCGAAATTCAATTCGATTACGTACGGCTGTAGTAGTGATAAACATTAATTTACTCTCATTATTTGTTATAATGTTATAATTTCGATAAATTTTATTCATAATTGTTCGCTGTTTCGTCACTACGATTCCTGTCTATTAAGTACGGCAAGTACATTGATTCAACGATAAAAATAAAACTACTAGGTCTAGAGATTTGTAATTTTGTAAGCAGATTCCTAATACTAATAATATGTTATGTAAGAATTTATGAAATTCATACTCTAAAAGTTTGTCAAAGATATTTTTCCTAGAAGTGAAGTATTTTAAAAATTGACAAACACTATTCAAAATAAATAATCACTTCTACTTTATTGAGATTAGTCTTATGAAATTCATATATACTAATATTATAAAGAGGAAAACTTTGATTGTAATGACTAGGCTCAAAAACTAATGGGCCGATTTAAAAAATTCTTTCATCGTTAGAAAGGTAATTTATCTGTGAGTGACACAGGCGACATTTTTTCATTTCTTTATAAACATTTTTAAGTTTCACGCAGAAGGAATTGCGGGCAAAAGCCAGTAACTTATGAAAATATAAATGTTTTCATTTTATATTTTATAATATTCACGTTATACAATATAGTGAGTTTTCACAAAGTTCATAGGGTCATCAGTTTTATGTTCTTTTAAAAAATAATATAACAATACAAAAATCATCCAAATTTTTTCAATTACAACGTCGCAAAATGTAATACATTGTTTCCATTACATCCTGTACAAGCTTTCCCCCGGCACCTCCGTCTTGAAATAAAAAAGTAAGTAGCCAATTTCCTTCCAGATTAAGCGCAAAATATCGAGATCCGTTCAACCGTTTAGTATCTATCCATCCATTGAACTTTCGCATTTATAACATATATAACAAATAAACAAAGTGATTCCAAAAATGTCACATAATCTCAATAATACTATCTGTTAACAACGAAACCACATGGCAATATAATTGTTTTTAAATTAATTGCCAATAGGGGTCATTAAATACTACACTGTTTAGATTATTTTTTTAAAAAAGATGTTAATACAAAATATAATAACGAACTAAACTTGACAACAGATGTATTACCTCTCTGAGAAATTACCAAATAAAAAAAATTGTTAACTGCCTAGTCTATTTCTTAAATGTCTTTGCAACGACAATGATGACAAAAGTTCATTCTGTTTGACACTAAACAATAATTTGCTAATAAATACATTTGATATACAGGGTGATTTTCAAGTATGTTGCCCAATTTTATAGAATTTGAAAATGAATTAATTTTTTGTAAAAAATATCGTAAAAATCCAATCTGACTAAAGTTTGCCCGTACGTCCAAAATGTTGTGTTCACAGTGGTCATTTTTTTCTTGAACACACCTAATAAGTGGGCTTTCCTACCATAACTTCTTTTTAGGGACGACTTACACAAAAACTGATTTTTCCGATTTTTTTATACAAAAAAAAAAACTTTAATATTATGGACAATCTGGTAACATTTAAACGCTAAAATGATAGATTTTAAGGTCCTCGAACTGCAAAAAACCGTTGTTCCGTCCGGAATCATCCTGTATAACAGCTGTATTATGTAAAAGTCTTATGTATTGTTTATTTGATCTACATTCAAATGTGTTATAAATCGAAGTCGCATCTGCAACGAAGGGCGTAATTTTCTTATCACGTTCTCAACTTCATTCTTCATCGTATCACCAACGAACATATATTTTATATGATATCTGTGTAACGGTTAAAGAAAATCGTTTGACGAATTTTTTTTACAAAAATAGAGATTAAAAATATATATAGAGGAAGCATAATAGACACTTCACTTGAAACATTTTACTCTCATAAATTTAAGATTGTACCATACAGAGAAAGTACTGGTAAAAAATGTTGTTCCCTATATTTAGTCTACATATTTCTTAAAAGTCTATACATAGCACATGATTTTGTATATATTTCGACCATTCGCAGACAAATACTGCAAGTTTTTTTTTGACATTCTTTATGGGTGGCCATCTTTTTTTAGGAGAGGCCAGACTTTTTACTTTTACTTACAATTATTAAAATCTTACATAAAAAACAATCAAATCTATATTTAAAAAAATAGTAACCAGACTTTTGCCGGCGACTCCGCCCACGTGGAATTTAAAAAGAAATAGTCATGTGTTCTAGACTACCCTCTATAGCAAATTTAATGAAAATCCGTTTAGCAGTTTAGGCTACAAACTAACAAACATTTTTTTTTATATGAGAAGGAGGCAAACGAGCGACGGGAACACCAAGGTGGTCAACGACGCCCAGACATCCGCAACACCAGAAGAACTACAGATGCGTTGCCGGCCTTTGAGGATTTTGTAGGCTCGCTTCTTGAAGGACCCTAAGTCGTACATCGCCAGTCAGTCATACATACTTTTAGACAACTTATTTAATTGATACTGTCGCTTTAACTCAGAGCAATACTTCTCGTCAAGACTTAGGATGCGCGCCAAATCTATCCATACTTGTAGTGACATTGACAGCTGTCAGCTAGGGACGTGACGTTTATGCCGATAATATAGAGTTGCGCCAATTCTATAGCACGGTACTAATTTTGTTCCTAACAATACATACATACATACATGTACAGTCGTACATCTATCCAAACTTTAAAAAGGATACAGTACGTCACATATGGGGTCGACGTATTGTAAATGTGGTTGCAATTTATCGATATGTGCGAGTAATTCATACAACGTCAAAGTAATATCCATAACAACACGGGATATATCAGAGTTGAAACGCTGTAAGAACGGTCCCACCATATGACAGAGGAACAACAATTGTGTTTCTGTACGAATCTCGGGCGACAATTTCTCCTTCACGAAGCTGAAATGGTAAACATTACAAATCATAACTTAACTTAACCAATTAATAAGTTTGATATAAAGTATATTTATCTTCATCCACTTGCTCTTATCTCTTACATAGAAGGGAGTACTTGGAGTACTTGGAGGGTCAGACGTGACATAATAATCTTGTTTGAGTTAAAAAATTAATTAACCAAAAAACTAAGAATAATGCTAATGTAATTAACAACTGTAATTAGACATTTAAAAAAAAATAGCTTTCGCCCACGACTCTGTCCGTGTGGAATTAAAAAAAATTGTGTACCCTATGTGTTCTTCCAGACTATCCTCTACGTCTATGGCAAATTTCATCGAGATCCGTTCATCCGTTTAGGCGACAAACTCTAACAAACATCCATCCATCTAAACTTTCGCATTTATAATATTATAAGTAAGATGATTGCAGAATAAAATTTAATAGGGCTTAAAGAAAAAAATAAAAAAAACTTACACAGGAAACTGAACAATCTGTCCTGTGCCCGCATGGTACCATATCGCATGTCCCAAAGCAAGTGTTAGACTATATTTGTTTTCCAACATCAGTTCATTAGTTGTCTTCGGATTAAACATTTGAAACGGTGTCTCTGAGTACGGCCATTCTAGCATTTCAGTGCTCGTCATAAGTTCCAATATCCTGTCATGTATCACATTCCAGTACGGGTCAGGTAACGCCGCCATTATAAGTCCTACAGCGTTTACCCACAATTGTGCTTTCATTGTGGGAATTACTTCGAACCCTTTAGTGATAACTTCCAGTAGATTGTTCCCTACCACATTCGGTGGGAAGGGTAGAGACATTAACTCTACGCAAGTGACATATAATGCATGAGCTGAAGGATTCGGGTATTCATTGAATCGCCAATCTGTGTTCGGGAAGGGAGATTCGCCCGTCATCGCTGGATTGCTGTTAAGGATTATCACAAACTAGTTGTCGCCCGCGACACTACACGGTATTACATACATACATGTACATATTTCATTTGATTTTCATTGAAAGCGAAACACTGTGTTTACTTAAATAAAATTAAAAGAAAGTATTAGTGTACAAAATAAAAAAAAATAATAATAAATAAAAATACGAAACACAAATTTGTTGAATACTGTAGGTCCTTGGCCAAAATTGTAATAGAAAGAAAAAAAGAAATAACGTACTAGTCGTTTACAGTTTTTGGCCTTATTATTTATGTTTCAAATTTATTTTACACTAGCTTTCCCCCGCGACTCCGTCTGCGTGGTATTGAAAAAAAAAAAACAAAAGTGAGTAGCCTGTGTGTTTTCCCAGACTATCTTCTACATCTATACCAAATTTTATCAAAATCCGTTCAGCTGTTTAGACTACAAACTCTAACAAACATCCATCCATCTATATTTTTGCATTTATATTAGTTACATTAATAAGAAAAGGATCATCATCCACTTGCCCTTATCCCTTACGGAGCGTCGGCACAGTATGTGCTGCTCCATACATCTCTATCAGCCGTCATATCTGAATCCACTCCTTTCTTAAGTATATCCTCTTTCACACAATCCATCCATACTTTCTTCGGTCTTCTCTTCCTTTGTAGCCATCCACATTCAATCTTAACACTTTCTGGTTTATGTTTATATTTTATTATATACTTATAATAAAAGGATACTGTCAACCATTCTATTGACAAGGTTGATATAATAATTTAAATCTGGTGCCCAGTTTGTGACCTCGAGTTCAGAGCTGGTGAGGTAGAATTGCAGGGTTTCCGTAGTAGCCCAGCCAGCTGGCCGCACGTCCTTCAACGAGCCGATCACTGCGCTAACCAACTTGCGTTTCAACAACGGCTTATCCCGTAACTTTGATTCGTAATAATGCAGTGTATTGTAAAGAAATGTTATTGGACGATCTGGAAATAAATGTTTATTTTTAAACAAACTGTTGCCCGTGACTTCGCCCGCGTCAAATTAAAAAATATAATCATGTTATTCAAGGATAAATTACCTTTCTAATGGTGAAAGAATTTTTAAAATCGGCTCAATAGTTTTTGAGTTATTCCAATACATACAAAAAGACAAATCTTTCCTCTTTATAATATTAGTAAAGACGCGCTGTCGCCCGCAAAATTTGTTAGCGCGGATTTAAAAAAAAAATCATCAGACAGTCAGACAAAAATCTTTAAATCCGATTTTCGTTATCAGCAACGCAAATACTTCCCGAAATCTGGAGTTTTTTCTATTAATATTAAATGCAGACACACCTATTTTATTATATGTATGTATGGATTAGTTAAATTTTAACTAAAACACTGAATTGAAATCAGAAAACAAATATAAAAGTATAAGTTACCATGGAACTTGTAGAGGTATCCAATGTGTTCGAGGAGTTGTTCTAGGTTCTTGCTGACTTGTGGTATCTCAAGGTGGCGGTGGACGACCACGTCCAGTACTGGAAGCATACGCAAACAAACATTGCTCAAGTAAACTGGGATAGTACCACCGTATGTACCACTGGCTTCCTCCGGACCAAACTTCTCTGGATACTTCCTATGGAAGGCTAAATGTTTCTCGTACCTGAAAACATATTAAGAGTATTGCATGCATGGAATAAAAAGATACTAACTATCGCCCGCGACTGCATTCGCATGAAATTAAAAAAGTAGACTATGTGTTCTTTCAGACTATCCACGGCATTTACGCTAAATTTCATCGTAATCCGTTAGTATTTTGGGTTACAAGCTCTAACAAACATCCATCCATCTAAACTTTCGCATTTATGTTAATAAGACTAACCAATTATTTTGCTTCCAATGTTCCGGGGAGTTTTCTTTCACAAAGTCTTGAGCTCGGTTCCTTAATTCCGAGCCTTTAAGCAGCAATAATTGGATAATGTACAGACACACTTGACTCTCATTGCCGTCTAAGTTAGGACGCAACACCTGGAAACATAAGTAACACAAACTTTAAATTCTAAGTAACCAATAAAAAATCATACAAAATTGGGAAATCTAACCATGAATAACCCCTCGCATATTGCGTTAAAACATAGAAATAATTCTTTGTGCATTACAAAGTAATTTAAGAGCCTTTGGGACAAGATTTTCATATTCTTAATTAGGCTTAATAACACTTATTTTTAATACGAATGCCATAGTTTAAAATTTATTAAACACAATTTCAGGTCAAAAATTATGCGGCTTCGTTCGCATACATTACATAAATTGTATTCTATTGTTTACATTATGTAAAACTTTTACTTGCAAATTTCAAAATTCAATGCTTCAATGACAAGAAAGGCCCTTGATGTTAGCTGAGAATTGTTTATGAAAATAACAAATGCAACTTTGCGTCTTTGCAGTAGCTTTATTTTTTTTGTCCCCTGTTACAGGTTTTACCAAATTATTTACCCCCTTAAGTTACAGCGAGAAAATATATAGCCTAAATCGTGTCTTACATAGGGCTATTTAACAAAGAAAGGATTACTCAAAAATATACTGTGATTTATGACATAAATAACTAAGTATTGTGTTTACGCCTCATAACATTAGTATAGAAGTATAGGAATACTCACAAGGCAGAGCACCAATCTATCGATAGTGACAATATTGTATTTCCAAACAATATCATTGATGGCATCCACGCACTTGTTGATATGCGGCCCGCCCGCGGGGTTCGTCACCTCGTACATCAAATAGTCACAGAATTTGCGCACATGTGCTGACAACGCCCGAGCGCCGATACGCTCCAGAATCCTAATCAGATTATCAAAAATCAACTTAACAAGTAAAATCAACTAAAACCAGTGATCGCTTTACACTTGTGTGAACATAGATTTGCTCAATTTATATCTACATATAGGTACTGTCAGAGAATATGATGGTGGTCCACATTAAGTCACATTCCTTTAGACGTTAATATTTCTGTACGAAATTAGGTTAGTACACAGCTGCTTGTTTTTTTTATTATTCCGTCGTTCGAACTGAGTGCTACATTTTAAGAGGCGGAGTTTGTTCGTTGCAAGATACAAGACAATTTTTATTTATGTGGAACACTATTGATTTCCCTGATTGTACAAATTGACCTGATTTGCATGACTGACTGTTAACCCATAGTTTTACATGGTGGCCGTGAGGTGCTAATTTAATTGAGTTATGATTCAATAGTTCAAGTCTATATGATCTGATTGTATAAGTTCAGAACTGATTTACTAGTCTACTAAGATTACAGTTAGCGACAAAGCCCATGTAAAAATGAATGAAAAAAAAAAAAAGATTACAATTGTCTACTGACATTTCGAATAGTCTAAAATATCTACATAGGAAAGTTTAATCACAATGTAAATCTATAATAAAAGTGTTAACAAGTCTAATTTAGAGCCTGTCCCTAGATAGGGGCTCAGATAAGTTAAAAATGACGTCACTGTCAGATAATGGAACAAAATCCTATATTTTACATGTTGGATTGTTATCAGACAACAACACAACGTTACAACTTGGTGGGACTGGCCCTCAGTATTCAAATTCTTACTTGAAAGCAATAGGGTTGATTCTGTTGGTTTCGAAGATAATCTTCCATAGTAGACATAAGAAGAGTGGTGCTCCCGGTACAGAGAAATGTGTAACAATATCATTGTCGTTGGCCATAGACGACCACTTCCTGTATTCTTCTTCAACGAATTTCTTTAACAATTGTTTGTTTTCTTTCGTTGCTGGATTCTGTAAATAAAAATACAACACAAAAAAATATAACAAAACACTTCACTGTATAAATAAAAACTTGTAATACTGTTTTTCACATTATATAATTACCTTTTACTTTATTTGACAATTTTATGAAACAATTTAAAAAATAGAATACCGTAAAAAATGGAATTTAACTTATGCATTTCTGCTGTAAGCAAAGTGTTAAAAATGACATTTAAACATATAATAAAATTGGTGTGTCTCCGATTTCGACCAGACTTTCACTAGAGGAAAGCTGACACAGACGGGCATTTTATAGGCTACTTTTTTATCTTAATGTTGCATGCACGAAGTCGCGGACAAAAGCCAGTATGAATTATATTTATGAATGCTTACCTGAGAGAAGAAATCAACAAGTACAGGCGGGAAGCACTGCAATGTATGCTGCGACCAATTATGCGGAGTATTTGTCATTATAGTAGATAGTAACTCTTTTACAGCGGCACTATCACTTCCTGTAATATATTACAATCACTATAAAAATATTTAACCTTACTAATAGTATAAATGCGAAAGTTTAGATAGATGAATGTTAGTTAAGAGTTGAAGGGATTTAGATGAAACTTGGCATAGACTTAGAGGATAATCTGGAAGAATATATAACCTATTCACTTTTGTTTTTTTAAGAGTTGCAGGCAAAAGCTAACTATATACTTCATTGTACCCGCTGTATAGTCGGAAACATTTATTTCCTATCCACTTTTTAAACTATGGAACTGTGACAGCAGAACCATTCTTCCGTAGTTAAGTAGACTATTATATCGTAAGGTGATTATAAATGTCCTATAGTGGGATAAACTTTTCTGGCTGTTAAGGCATAAATAACTAATATACAAAACACAACATTGCAACAAGACAAGTCATTAGGGTGTATTAATGTCAAAAAAGTTAAAAACTGTAACTTTTTTGACATTGTTGTGTTACTTTTTAATCTATTTTCTATAGCCAAGGTGACTGTAATAAAATTACCACAATAATGGTCACCAACCCATATAAGTTTATGAGAATGCTGACTATCAAACTTGTTACTTTCTTACTGCAACATTTGTTACAATTTCGCAGTCTAAAGCTGAATAGATCTCGATGAGATTTGGCATAGATGTTGAGCAGTTTTTTCTTTAATTCACGCGGAGTCGCGGACGTAAACTAGTAAATATAATACATACCAGTTCCTGTCATATGAATGCCTCTAGCTATTGTGAGCACAAGCACTCTGTTGAGTTCCTCACTGTCCGCAGATACAAGGGACTTAGGCTCGGACACAACCCGAGACATTTGCAACTGGACTCCGGAACTTCCCAAACTCGTTATCAGACGCAGCGCCGTACTTTCGAAGCTGATGAAATATTAATTGAGTTACTTTTTTTATCAGTCTAGGGTTGCCAACAAAACATGTTAATATAGACATACAGTGGTTGAATATTAGTTAAAATTTTAAACATAAATAACTTATAAGCAACACAACTTTCATAGAAATAAAAACAATGGGCAAACATAAAATAAATAAAATCAAAAATAAACATAAGTAGTTTAAGCAGTTTTTTAAATTGCATTTAATTTCCCAAGCAATGCTGAAGGAATGAAAAAAAATTAAATTCATACGAAATTCTATTGGTAAGTGCATTTCTACCAACATTCCAGCGATAACAACTAAACACTTTATCGCCCTCATTTCTGGTGTACGAAGAATACATGAAAACCTAATGGTATATGGTTGTTGTATTGAATTTTCTTATACCAGTCAAGGCATATTTGCATTTTTGACAAGTATAGTGGCAACATCTTGCTGCATTGTTTTGCATAATTATTGTTAAGTATAGTAAGTAGTTTTGAAGTCAAAATATTGTACTAGTATCAGTAGCCAATTATAATTAAAACTTAATAATACATAAGTAGTATAGACACTTCAACATATGTCTATTATTAGTTCAAGTCTTGACCACCTTCATTTTGCAGCAGTCAGCTAAAATTGCATAAAATACCATGGTTTATAGCCTATCCATTTATTCAATGTTTTGTATACATACCAAAGTTGCAATTGTGTTTGATTTGCTTGAGGACAGGCAGCCAAGGAATGTAAATGCGAAAGCAAAGTAACTCTGTAATGTGGTTGTATGTGATGGATCCGATATGAAAACATATCCAACAAGTTATGTAGGATGCCCCACGCATGGGACTTGAAAACATTTGGTAACAGCTGATCTGTGGACATAAGGAAAACAGTAAATACAATTATTTATTAAAAATATAAATACATACATACAAATCCCTCATATTTGATTGTACCATCATACTAATATTACAAATGCGAAAGTTAAGATAAATGGATGGATGTTTGATAGAGTTTGTAGCCTAAATGGCTAAACAGATTTCAACTAAATTATGTATAGATGTAGAGGATCGTCTGGAAGAACACATGGACTACTCACTTTTGCTTTTTTTAATACTACGCAGATAGAGTCGCGGGCGAAAAGTAGTTCTTAAGCTCAAAGATATGTAAAGCCTACACACAGCAAAGCATGGTCGACTATCGCCTAACAACAACAAACTTGGGTAAGTTCAAGCTCCAAGGGTAAGCTCTTCAGTAGGGGTGAATAGAATAATGGTTATAATTTTTAAACTAATAAACCACTTTTAGTACTCTTTGAGTCAAATAACTATATCTAATCTATATAAAATGTCCAATTAAACAATGCAATATCTGCAAAATCATTTGAAACATCTTTGTTAACATAAAATTAATGTAGACTCTATTTTTTAGTAAGATGGATACTTTGAAGATTATTAAGTTATCTAATAAAATATACTTACTTATAAACCCTTTAATACCTAAGGATTCAATCTCTGTGTAAACCAGCAATCGACTGTATGTTTCAACTAATGCGGGGGCCATCATATTACTGCTGGGCAGGTTTGTTTTGTTCTGAGCCAATTTTGCAACATGAGTAACTATAGAATGTATCACAGACATTTTGCAATGCAACGTCAAACTATCCAATATGCACATGGATAGAGGAACTGTTGGCAATGGTGTACTAGTACTACCACTTGGTAACGCTTTCTGAGCACCAAATAATGTCTCGATAATAATTCCCATCGGTCTTGTATAGCATTCTTGCTTTGTTGAATATGCATTGCATAATAAAGGTATGCGATAATCACCACCCATTAAAGTTGGTGTGTTATTTGATGACATGAGATGTTGGAGAAATCTGTAAGCGGGAGAAAATTGTACTTATATTATCCAACAGTAACTTAAGATGTTTCAATAAATGGAATATCAAAAATATATCTGTACTAAGACTAATGAATTTATCATGAATTAAACAAATAGTAATGCTCCATGTTTAAAATTTCATTAAGATTCTTTAGGCGTTTTGGAAATGTATAGTAACTTCCAAACTACATTCCATTGGTCCAAACTTTTGCATTTGACTTAATTGTATGATGGTGTATTACACATTCAAAATATTACATTTGTTATAATATCAACAATATAGACAAATTCTTTGTATTTAAGAATATTAAATACTTACTCATACTGCACTTTCAAATTTTGTGGCATAGACATAGTTTTATGTTCAGTTTCGGCTTTCTTAATCAAATGCATCCAGATACATACAACAGCCATCTGATGTGTGCTGTGCGCTTTTGTCCAATCCGGAACAGGCAGAGGTTCCTTTTCAGGATATAACAGCTCATGCAATTTTATAATCGGTAGGAAATCAGACAAGGGGTGTCTTTGAATGCTTCCCGATATAAACTGCAAAAGAACCCACATCAAATGGTCTCGTCCTTTCTTTAAATTGTGTCCGGCTAATTTGTTATGCAAACCCATAACAATGTTGGAGAAGGAAGCGAACCCAATCAATATTAAATATATGACTTGGGAAGACAGATGTAACCAACACCAATGTGTAGAAGACATTTCATCATCTTCATCTTCTTGTTCACTTTTTTCCATTGGTGATATCATTAGTTCAACAAGTTGATCTTCAAGCGCTACGCAACGCTGTTTGTGCTGTTTTTGCAAGCCCAGCATCGAACACATCATGTCTCTTGAGTATGGTTGTTGAATAACATGCCTCAAAAGTGCTATTTGAGGCTTTATCAGATCATCATCATATGGCAAGTTTCCTTTTAATGTGAATTTCAATGTTGTTGGATCAAGTCTCCATGGGTTGATCAGATGGTCAGCGTAACCTGAGAACTCGACCACTGGCAGCATACTTGAATGACCAATTATTGACACCATTTGGGCGCAAGGTCTAAATGTCTCTATGAAACTGGTGAAAAGAGATGCCAATTGCTGCAAAAGAAATTGAACAGTTAAATTATTACAGCATTGAGTTAAAAAAAAAAAAAACTGTTTGTAATTTTTCATTTTTGTGAGTTGCAAATAAGCTAAAGATCATAAATATCAATAAAATATGGAACTAATTTAATATAAAAATTAAACATTAAAAAATAGTTACCCAATGAGGCCATTGATTATTATCTGGATAGTCTTTCTGTATTTCTGTTACTACGAAATATGCAGGTAGCAGTGAGGCATTCCGGTCGAATATGTACTCAATAACATTGCACAATGCCTTTACTTGTGGTATGTTGCTTGAATTAAGGTACAATGGTAAAGTGAGTGCTTTTTCACGGCAGCCCTTAAAACATAATTAAAAACAAAATTGCTTCATCAATTCAAACCAAATATGATAAATTTATTAATACTTCTTGTACAGAAAAGAAAAGATTTTTTTTCAGCAGTAGAGGTTCATTACTTTATTACTAATATTAATCCTAGCTTTTTAATTGCATTTTTGTTTTAAAGTCTATAAAAAAAGGTGGTAAACATTCTGATTTAGTGATTACAGGTGTATTAAATTCTGGCTAATATGTGTTGTACTATATTCTAGGTCAGGGTTAGTCAACTTGGTTAATTCCAAGATCTACTGTTCATTGAAAATACCCTGTGCAAACTACAAATTACATATTTCATGTAATCTTAAATTAAACAGCATAATTCAATATACATAAATGTAGAACTAGCTTTCATCTGTGACTCTATCGGCATGAAAATAAAAAACAAAAGTAGTCTATGTGTTCTTCCAAGCTATTCTCTTTGTTTATGCCAAATTTCTCTAAAAATCATTGATCTAAACTTTGTTGTTTATAATATTAGTAAGAAGCAAGATTTTTGAAGTCTGTGGTATTTTTATTTTATGGTATTGCCATGATCGACTGAATTAATAAATTCCTCTCTACTACCTATTCTTACCTTCATAATTTCTCTTACTCCTTTATAATCAACACCACCAATTATTCTTCTGATGAAATGAAAACTGTGAATCCAGAAGTCTGTATTCTTCCAATGCAGTTTATCACTGCTTAAAATGCAGTCACAAACCATACTGCAAAAATGTTTTTTTTAGAATGTGAACTGATAACTTATACATAACTTAAATACAATCAACAAAAAATTAAATAATTATTTCATGTATTTAATGAATAAGTAAATAAATGACAACACTCTAATGAAGATCACAAATTGTATGACACCACACCTGTCTAAAATCATTCATTAGTCTAGATAACAGGTCACCATAAAATTGTCATACAAAGAAAACATTAATGTCCAAATTAAGTAGGTTTACAAATTAATAAATGTGAATAATGTACCTCTGATGACTAAAGCTATAGCTTATCAGTCAATACACATGAGGGGTTGAAGTAGTGATTTAAGTAACATTTCATACCGTGCTTGCAGGACGTTAGTATTGACCAAATTCTCTAGTATGGTCAATAATAGTTTCATTTTGTATTGATTTGGCAGAACAGCTGTGTGCGTTATATAATTCCGAATAGCAGATTCCTGCAATTCTGCATTTAGAGTTGACATAATAGCACATAATCTTTTTTGATACTTTGTTATTTTCTCAAGTTCGTGATCTGGTTTGTGTACAAGGTAACTACTAAATGCTTCCTCCACAGGGTTCACTCGCTGAAAAATGTAAAATATGTAAATAGCTGTAGGTATGTTCTTTTATTAATAAGTAGTATTCATACAAATAGTCTAGTTAGTGGGTGGTAGTATGGGAGAGGCACCGGTGCATTCTACCAGATGGCCACGAAGAGTTTTGATGGGTAAGCCCTACATAACTTTGTTCCACCCCGGGGTCCGTGTCTCTGTATTAATATTACTTCTCCAAAAACAAAAAACGAAACACCGTTTTGAAAACGGTAGTAATATGAACGTCGCTAGTGAGGCAGGGTCGCAGCTACACTACATTCTAAAGAATGGAAAATTGTAAGATATAAAACTAAATCGAACTTACCAGTATGTCATTGACAATATTCGTAATTTGTGTATCGGCCATTTTTATAGGCATCTTTGTACTGTCTCGGTAACTATAACCTTAAATCCATTACTACTACGAAACAACAAAACACTGTAAAGAACTCAATGCAAAGTATTCGTTAGAGCACATACAAAGTAATCGATAACAATAATGTAATGTAATGTCATGAAAATCGGTATCCAAAGAGCATATAAGTCTATATTCTATGCAGAGAGTTGATATCCTCCAATCAGAGGACAACAAAACAATGTTGCCAATATAGAAAAAAATCATACAATCAATTGAGACTCACCTCCTTACGGAAGTTGGTTAAAAAACGGCCAAGCTCATTACGTAGAAAAGATTCTACTGTTCAACTGATTAAACTGCGAAATGTCCCTGGGTTATACGAAATTAAATCTGATCAGAAATGTATCATTGCCCAAGCATCGCCGTAGGCTATAAATGACATCAATGACATTATATTTTGACGTATTGATGTAGAAGTAGAATGTTGCAATATAAAACATTTGGGGAGCGGTCACAAAATAGGTTTTCGATATTGCTGTTTCTAATTTTCGAAAGTGCTTACTCCTCTATATGAGTTTTCTGTACAATTACACCTATTTTTAAATTCTTTACAGAATAAGAAATGAATTATAAGCCTTGTTCTGAAATACAATTGACTTGAACTTAGTTAACTTGGTGCTAGTGCTGCTACTGCTACAAAGTTGTGAAAAAAAAACAAAGAGTTGCACACCATGGATGTATAAGTATAGGCGAGTGAGACAGAAAATTTTGTGCTGAATGTTGCAATAGGTATATTAGTGAATTTCTTATTTTAAGACAGTTGTATAATATAGTGAATAACTTATGTTTTCGTCAGAATATTTTTATAAATTACTGTTCTTGGGGTGATGGAGTCACCGCCTTCCTTTTCAACAAACTCTGAAGCACCACCGTTGAGTGAAGATAGTGGCCTTCTGATTACAAGTGGTTCGTTTTCTAGTGACTCCGCAAGTGGATGGCATCATATCACGTCAGAGGTGAGTAGTGATAATGAGGCATTAAAAGCATCTCCTAGAAAACTTCAAAAACGTTGCAAACTTTCATTATTTACGTTTGTTTGTCGTTACTAGGAGGTGTAAATAATGGTAACTATAGTGAGTAAATGAAGGGTAACCTTTAAAAAAGTTTGTGCAACTTTAATTTTTACTGAATTGAGAAAGGAAACATCAAATATTTGTGAAATTATGATATTTTTAGGTTAGAAAGTACTAATATCGAAGTTAAATTATTGTGATAGTTTGAAATTTGAAATGGATTACGGGCTTGTTATTGGCTGCGCCGTGTGTACAAACAATAAACAATGACATTAGTTACCGTGCAGGTTGCGACTTCATGTCACTATTTCACGTTTTTTATATTTCTACACCTTAAATATTACTAGTTTTTTGTAAATTACTATTGAATACATAATAAGCTATTTATTAATAATTATAAATTAAACTTTTCAAGTGTTTTTATATTCCTGATCCTTTTTAAATTTGGAACGAAAATAAATGAATTTTTTTACAAAAAAAAGTGAGAGTTAACAGCAATTGTAGAAAATAAATGTTTGAAAAAATACTATCAAGTAAGGTTAGGAAAAATACTTGAAAGCTAAAACCTTTTTTCAAAAATTGTTAATATTTACTTTTACTAACATATTGTAGGCATACATTGCAATGAAACATGAACTTAAAAGTTTTTTTTTAACTTATTTGTCTAATATCTCCTCCAAACATACTTCTAAACTTTTGTAAGCTAAAAAAAAAGTTTAAATAGAAGACAAACATACAAAGATAAAACTCAATTCATATTGTATTCAGTTCAGATCAAAAGTTTATTAAAAAGGTGTCAGCCCTCTTTACTGTGGAAGTATAAGAATTAATTTTAATGTGAACATTTTAAAAAGTTATGCCATTACAATTATTATTTGATAAAATCATAACATGAAATTTTATTACATATTTAGGTACATTCTGTGAAGCCCAACATTATAGGTACATACTACAGATTATCACAAGTTAGGTTAAATTGTGGTTTTAAATCTATTATACAATTTAATTACTAGAAAGATTATTGTAAACTATTGCCAATTTATTTGACCAATTGCCAAAAAACCTGTTTTATTTTCCGTTATTCACTTCAAGTTATTTGTAGTTTTGACAAACTAAATGTGTTATTCTTGTATCATATTTTTCCAAATTTCATCTTAACTAGTATACTGATAATCCTATTCTAAATGACAGCAAAAATATATTTAAACGTTTCTTTTTTAGCCAGGCTTCGTGTTTTTCATTAAAATCTATGACTAACAAGTTGCCAAAATAGTTAATCGACGAGTTGAAAAAAGCAAATTAACGTTTCATCAATTGCCACAACTGTCAACTACCCATCCCTACACCCTGTGCTGCGTCCCGCCCGCGGCGAAGTGGCGCGGCGGGACGTAGGATAAACGAAATGGCGACTTGTCACGGGCTTAACATGGCATCACGCGTTCCCTTTAAAATAAATGGATAAATTCAGGTCATAAGCCACTTTTAAAAGCCGCAGTCACTTAGTAAAACCTTATTTCACACTATTCGTTGTTATCTCCATTACGCTATAGGTTTTTAGATAGACATAATCCTTTTATTTCTTAGAGACGTGATTCTAAATTAACTGTTATATTTGATGACCACGAAGCTTCTTAGAATAATAAAACATTGCAATATGTAAAAACGTCTTAAATAATTATGTCTACGCTTAAACTCCTTCATTAATTGTTACGTCGGACAAATTGTAAGTGGCGGTTATGATACGAAAATTCGGGTCAGTATTCAACTATGATACTAAGCTATGATAAAAATAATAATACTTTGCGTCTTCTATGTCTTCAATCTATACATGTAATAAAATTGGGGTGTCTGTTTGTAATATCAAAAGAAAAATTGCAAATTTCGCGAAGAATATGTATTTGCGTTGCTGTTATTTTTTTTGTCTGTCTGTCTGTCGCGCGTTTGTTCCGGGTAATATCCGAAACGGCTTTGCCGATTTTGACGGGACTTTCTCTGAAGGGTAGCTGACATCGATAGGTATATTACAGGCTACTTTATATTCCGCGCTGTCAAAATGGCGTAACGAGTGGTCCGATTTTTAATGGGACTTTGTCTGAAAGATTGCTGATAGAAGGTAGGCACGTGGGAATGTGATAGATGACTTTAAAAAAAAATCCGCACTAACGAAGTTTGCGGGCGACAGCTCGTCTTCAATAAAACGTAAAAGGCAAATATTGATAATAAAGAATGGTGGCTGTTATAATGTGCTGTATTGGGATTCGGACTGCCTTTAAAGCTTCTCAGTCATCAGTATCCGACCTCTTTGGCAGAATGTTTAATCTTTGTCCATCAAAAGTTTTGGATGCGTTATTCTTCACTCAACAATAACTTATTTGATTATGAATGTTGTTGGAATATTTACTGACAGGCGAGCTCTTGTATCACTAAATTCAAAATTTTTCTCAGACAAAAATTTAAAACACTCATGATTCTGTAAGTTCAATTATCATCTTCATTGGTTCTCCCAATACACCTGTCTTGTCTATTTTCATAAGCTTTGGACTATAATTTAACATCATTGTAATAGTATTTTCAGCAACATAACAGTGTAATACATTGTGTTGTTGGTGAACGCTTACGTTTACCAGGCGTAACAATGTTCCCCACCCACCCCAAACCAACACGGCGCATCTGCCTATTTACAGAAACGACATGACTGTTTATTTAACCCGTTGCATTATCACAGTAAAACAGCAATTGCATTTCTCACCTAACGATTTAGACCTCATTTTCAATTACTCTGACACGAGGGCAAAATAGTGAGCTAGAGCAGTAGATATTTCAGCACTGCTATTGTTTAAATTCGCTGTTAAAACAGTCTTTGTAGGGAACTTCTCGTTCGGTTAGCAATATTGCCAGTGGCTAGTAATCGACGATGTGCGTCAATGTATTAATGAATAAAGACATGATACACTCGGGGAATCTGGCGATGTTCCTTAAAAGCTACGATCGCTTGAACGTTTTACGACGTAAAAGTAACTAACGGGACTGTGCGAAAAAAGGTCGATCAGGTGCGGTGTGCGGCTAATTGATATTTTATTACTATCCCGTCGTTTACCTAGTTAAATGCTACGTAATTGGATATTCGTAAAAAACAAGGCAATATTTTTGTAAGAACACCGCAAATTTTCGCGACTGTACATGACATGTCGAAAAATATTTTCAGTTCCATACTTTTTTGATTTTTCTACTAGCTCTGTCTCTAATATTATGTATCTGAGTGTTCAAACAATGGTGTACTGTAAGTTCTATTACTCTGCCTCATTGTTCTGTCCTCGTGTGAAAAAATGTTGATGACATTTCACTGTAGTCCAGCATGGTATACTGACGATAGAGGATTTCGCGTATAGAATATATCGTGTAGTGTGTACGCTCCCGATGCGACTATGATTGATACACGACACGGGAAAGCAATTACTCACATTAATTAATAACTTGTATTCTCGATTGAACTTCAAATCCAATTATTACGTTCGATTTCCCTGCATATTTGGCTTTTTAATTTGAGAGGCCCATTGTTTGTCTGCGTGCTGGTTTAACGCTCTTTTTTAATAGTCGTAATTACCTTTAGCTTGTTATCCGAAACGCTATCGTATGTGTTTTTATTTCCACCTATTGACATTTTAACGCAAAAAATGGATGACTATGTTTGCGATGCTAATAAAGTTAACAAAGTTGTTTAAATTGTAGTAACAATACTTAACTAATGCCTAAGTAACTTTTGCGACGCGAGATATTTAAATTCCAAATCGTACTAACTCATAATTTTTAATGCTAATAGTAATCTTTAAAAAAAAAAAAGGATTAAAAAGTATTTATTAAAAGTAACATTTTCAATTAAAAACATGTATTAATGTTACGTGGATACCATTTTTGTTCATGAAAAAAATTCAATTCGTTCTGTGTCCATAAAGCTTTCGGGCTATTTTTTTAATAAATATTAAAATGAAAATGGATTTAAAACTCTGCGCTTATAAATATTCGAATAACTGTCTAGTTAATTTTACTCTATAAGTTATTTCTCAAAATTATATTTGTTATGGGTTGTTTTGACTAAAGCATTT